CATACAATATTTTATTAGATTTTATATAATTGTTAATAAATATTGCGAAGAAAATTGAGCGGATGTCGGAGACTATCCAACAAAAATAGCATGCCATTTTGAAAGATATTTCTGTTACCAATATAGAATCTATCTCATAGGATATTTTGCATAACTCCAAGTGAAGATGTCTGTATAAATATATCATTTTATTTTGTATGTTCTATATATTATACTATATGTGCTATGTGTAAATGTTTATTTAGTTTTATTTATGTTAGTACTATTTATGTAGTGACAGATTGATTTTTTACCTAATGATCCATATCATGCGTTTGGTATATAAAGTTTTTGAAAACTGGTGTCGATGCAAAGGTATTATGAGATTTTCTGAAACTTTTATTTTATGATCGTTATCTGTCATCAAATTCTGAAGGTGTTTATTAATTTGATCAAATTTTAATCCAATATATCTAAATATAAAAGAAAATTAATTAATGATATTGTTATTAAAAAATAAGTATATCAACTTTGAGAATACTTGAATAATGCTTAAATTTTTATAGCTGATGATTTAATTTTATTAATGTATATGATTTAAGTTAAGAAATAACTGTTATATATTTATAAGTATTCAAAAATTATACCAACCCAAGAATAATTGTAGTAGTTAAATAACTGATAATCTGAATATGCAAATAATGATTTCGTATAAAGACGACAATTATAGCAGTCAGAATGTCACAATCATGTTCAACGTTTACGGATAATGCCGTTGCACTGTTCATTAATATGACTATTACAAACCATCCTAAGACGAGCCACAGTGTTTTCTTACGTAACTTGTCATAATCTGTCACTGTTCCGAGTTCAAGTAATGTATTGTCAATAATGTCGAGTTTCTTCAGAGAATTTTGAAATTTCTAAAAAAAGACGCAATTAGATGTGTAAATAAATAATTATTTTTTTAAAAACTCAATTGTATCTGTTACACAATGCATCTAATATCGAATGTATTTTATTTATCAAAAATGTAATTTTTTATTGCGATGCTCTCTTTGCCAATTCTTTTATAGAAATTTTGTAAGTAATAATTTTATTGGAAGATTTTATTAATGCATGCCGCATCAATATTTTATTTTAAATGTCGTAACTGTGCAAATACATTCGAAATTGCTTACTACAGTATATAATCATATATTGATATAATTCAATATATATATTAACATATTTATTTACTTACTTTGCGATGGTAAACACCGAACACGATTGACAATAAGCTTGTAAACAATTCCAGGAAATAGCATATGTGAAAGTCAATTGGATACGATTTATGAACAGAATATACAAGTGGAGATGTTAAAAGACAATAGTAAACTATCAAAATTAGAAGCATATATAAAAGACTAAACCATAGTTTTATGCGATTTATAGGGAAATTAGCAATTCTTAAGCCGAACACATAACTGGTTATTAGAAGTGGCTTTAAAATTGTTTGAATATTTTTGGTCATTGCATACGCTGTTGGTATATCAAACTGAACTTTTCCTGGTTAGTTCGTTGAATAAATTGTATAGAATAGTAACAATAGTATGTATAATTCAATTTCAATTAAAGCTTTTATGGATATTAAAGTTATCAATTTATTACAATTGTAACAATTGTTGTCAATTTATATGTCACACTCTATTGAAACAAGATGATGAATATGCTGCCTGTTTTAATATAAAACGGACAAGTTCATATAACAATGATATTAATATTATTTTTGACACATTTTTTATTTTAAGATTTTTATTTGACCCTACAGTACACACATATTAAAAAATTTAACAAGATAGATGTAAGTCATAATTACAACAGTAATAAATATCCTATATATGTGCAATTATAAAGCATTACTGTCCATTTTGATAAGTATTATGTTATTTAAATAGAATTTTGTAAAATAAAGTTTAAGTTATATATACTTTTGTATTTCTGTTGTGGAAGGGTTTGTATTTCACACACAATTTAAGTGATTGAAATAGAAAGATCCTTCTCACATTACGCGAATAAAAATTTAATTTAAATAAAATTTTTTTATGTAAAAACACTTAGCGCTGTTAGATTTAGAAATACAATAAAATTTGTATGTATGTAACATTCAGAAAGGGATGTTGATTCAAGTCCAGAAGTATTGTACAACTCTTCTGCCTCTAATAAGTTTACTTATAAGTTTATTTATTAGTAATAAGTACTAGTAATAAGTTTACTTATTTGCTCGTGCCTGTATTATTATGACTAAAACGGTCGCAATAGATGCGATAAACTAAAAATGAAGACAGTATGTAAGTTTCTCTTTTAAATATTTGTAAAGTAACTTAACTATTTATAATTATATGATAAGTATAACGTACCTTATGAAGAAATTTGAAGCCAAATTGGAAGAACCCGATTCCGCAGAATCTAAGTGGTGCGTAAACTATTTGTAATGAAAACTGTGAAATCTGTATTAACAAAAAGAATGTAACATTTTTGAAGGATTTTCTTAATTTCTTTTAATATTTAATATTTACTTTAACATTATTTAATATTTATTTTAATAATATTCTAACGAATCTATTTTAAAACTTACGAGTTCACGAATTTCAACATCATAAGCAAAATATGATAATCTATTTAATAAATTTGCTGTTGCATTCGCCTGAAATTGTAATATGCTGAATGCACTTAAAGGGGCTTCTCATTTAGTTTTAAAATCAAATATCAGTAATAATCAAATTATTTATTTATATTTTTTAAAATTAAATGTAATTTTAATAATACCTTGGTGGTGACTGTTTCACACATATAATTAATAAGCAAAAATTTAAAAACGTTATGTGAAAACCAGCCTAAGTGCACAATGATGGACATTATTCTAGATTTCACATAATTACTGATAAGTATTCCATAGAATATTTCGCGCAGATCAATTGCTATCCAACCAAAATAGCATGCCATTTTAAGAGTCATGTGTGTCCCAAATATTGAATCTATATCACAGGATATTTTGCGTAACTCCAAGTGAAGATGTCTGAATGTGTATATATAAATATAAAATCTTATTGTATGTATATAGTATGTATGCTACTGTTTATATAAATATCAAATTTTTTTTATAATATTACGTACGGCATTTAATATAATTTATATTAAATTTCTTACATAACGATCCACATTATGCATTTGTTGCTTAGTGGTTTCGAAAATCTCCGTTGGGAACAATGTGGCATGGGATTTTCCCATGCCCGTTTTATTTCGTTTTTTTTATTTTCCATTAAATTCTGGAGGTGTTCATTGATTTGATCAAATTTTAATCCTGTATATCTAAATATAAAGAATGTATATTTAAAATAAATTTGTTAATTACAACTATATTTTAGCAACTATATTTTTTATATCAACACTTATATTTATGTATAAATACTCCATAAATTATGAAATATTTATGCATTATAATTTAGTTCTATTGATTGATTAAATAACTATACGCTATAGAATAATGATATAACGTTAAGTATACGTAAAAAATGTACCAACCCAAGGATACTTGCAGTAGTCAAATCACCAATAAAGTTAATATGAAAAGAATAGTCTCGTATAAGGATGAAAAACATAGCTGTTGCAACGTCACGATCTTTTTCAGTTTTTACTAATGAACTTGAACAGTATATCGTTAATGTGACTATGACGAACCATCCAAAGACCA